TCTGTTTATGTATAATCAATGCTAAAATATAAAAGGCAAAAAATCCTGGGCTGACATCAGACACAGTAAACATTTTACATTTATTTCAAGTAAATCTTATGACTCCCTGTGGTTTGATTTTAATACAATCTAATTTAATTTATTTCAAACTCCCCCTTTTTGCCTTCTGTTAAGCCTCCCTGCTCTGACCCACTCCATCCATTCCTCATAGTTTTTCTTTCTACACAGAACTGCCCGTGTTCCCATATCCATAAACGCTTACATTATTTACTTTTGTCACTGAGCCAGGGGAACAAGCACAGTATCCCCTTTAGCAGCAACAACATTTGTAAACAGGCTTGACGTCCAAAAAAATCCATTTCCAGTTTGTTCTGTTTCCAGAAATAAAAATATTGTTTAGCCCAGTTGAAAACTTTTTCATTAATGTAAGACACAACTATTTTTCAATGTTTCAGATGCACTTAAAGGTTATATGATACACGGATTCTTCATGAAAAGCCAGGCACCTTAAAGTCTAACAGTATTGCTGCATAGTAGCACACAAGGGATAATAAATATACTTAAAAGAACTATTGAACTGGTTAATGTATAAGAGAGCAAACATTTTATGGAAAATATATTATTTCAGGTAAGAATGCTTCTGGGTTGCTTATTAGAAAGTAGTTACATGGTCTTATTAGAACTAATAGTGACTAAAAAAAGTCTGCTTTCAAAAGGAGAAGAGGTGACATAAAGAGACAATTTCCATCCAAAAGAGAAAAAATACTGTACAGGATCTTATACTCAGAAGTTTATTCCTGACTGATCCAACAGACTAACAACAATCTAGGTTCTTCTCTGTATTTCACAGCTGGGCATCATCCCATAAACACAAGCCCCACACAGTTTCCCTTTTAATAGTTACAGAGGTAAAAACAGATAGATACATTAAAAAGGTTACTTGATCCTGCAAACATGATGCAAGCTGATACTTGTTAAAATTACTTAACTCACTAAGGGAGTTATGATTTTAGGGTTTTTTTATTTCTATAAATCTGAGAGGCACATGACAGAAATACAGAATTAATCCAATTGCTCAGTCATAAGTCACTTGAAGTTTTTAGAGAGAAAGGGAAATGAAAATCTTAGCATGAAGAAGCCAGATTGTCATGGCTCTCTAAGAAAACAGAAGGATCATGAACTAGTGATATTTTAAGAAGTTGTTATAGTTTATGTTTTAGAAGTACTGAAGAAGAAATATCTAAACAAAGTAAGCAGATAAATAAATAAATAAAAGTGCCTTTACCAGCTTGTGCTCCTTATCCCCAAAAGAAGACTCAAACCTATCTGTCAAGACAACACTGCTTTATATACATTCTCCCTCTGCAGCCTCTCTTTGTACCAGTTTTTTCAGTCAGAAGAGTCAACAAGTATTATACAACACTGATTACTCAAATAAGCAAGTGAGCCATAGAAGGAACTTCAAATTTGGCAGTATAAGCAGAAGTGAAAACAGATGCTGCAGATGAACTGAAGATACAGAGCAATATTAAGAATATTAGAAATATGGAAATGCAACTGAAACATTTAAAAAGAAAGAAAAAGGAAATTCCAGTAAAAACTACCAATCTAATTACTCAAAACGTACTTATCAGAGATTCATAGAATGGTTAGGATTGGAAGGGACCTTAAAGATCATCTAGTTCCAACCCCCCTGCCATCAGCAGGGACACCTTCCACTAGATCGGGTTGCTCAAAGCCTCATCCAGCCTGGCCTTAAACACTTCCAGGGAGGGGGCATCCACAGCTTCTCTGGGCAACCTGTTCCAGTGTCTGACCACCCTCACAGTGAAGAACTTCTTCCTAATATCTCATCTAAACCTGCCCTCTTTCAGCTTAAACCCATTTCCCCTTGTTTTGTCATTAATTGCCCTTATGAAAAGTCCCTCCCCAGCTTTCTTGTAGGCCCCTTCAGGTACTGGAAGCCGCTATAAGATCTCCCCGGAGCCTTCTCTTCTCCAGGCTGAACAGCCCAACTCTCTCAGCCTGTCCTCATAGGAGAGGTGCTCCAGCCAGGGACAAAAGGAAATTTTTCACACACACTCAAGAATTGCCTAAGAATTTTAGCTGAAGAATAGTACAGCAAAACTTTTTATTATGCTTGATAATTAGAGTTCCACAAATAAGACAGTAAGTGCCTCATGGTCATTAAGTCCTTAGGAAAGAAGCAGGATGAAGAAAAACAACGGAGAATAGAAAGAGTTCAAGATTTCAGGTGGATGCCTTCAGTATGTAAGGACACATGCAGGCAAAAGGACACAGGTTTACACATGGAGGCACACAAGGAGAGAGCAAGTCTGGCTACGATGACACGGGACAAGCAGAGAAAACAAACTATTTTGTGAAGAACCTCTGTGTAGTGAAACAAACATACAGCTCATCTGTTAATCAAAAAATAGTAATTTATAAATAACCACTGACACCCACGATCTATTGTGAGCATTCTCCAATTTGAAGCATAAATCAAAATAAAATCAAATAAAATAGTAATCAGAAATGAGGCATACTAGATCTGTAATATATGCAAGCTTCAGTGGCTTAGCATTTCCTAAGCCTTCATGACAGTGTATTTGTTTATGCACAGTATTACGGAAGAGGCATCTGTTGAAGGTCAAATCTAGACAGATGTGCAAGGATTCAGAATGAATAACCAAGAACCCAGCATTTAACGTAACTCCTCCTGCCATAGCAAAGGAAGTTATCTTGGCAGAGATCCTCTTCCACTTTAGTGGCAGATAAGAAATAAACCCCTTTTGAAACACCACCTCGTAGTGTTTGTGGCTGACATTTGTAGTGCATCACAGCAGTTGAAAATCCAGGAACAGAAAGACCTACATAAAGACCTACCACAGAATTTGAACTATTTGCAAAAACCTTTGCCATATTTATTAGATAAGTAGGGATTTAGATAAGGGCTACATGTAAGAAAAAATTTTAGCCTAAATACCTTGAACATGTTTACATATACTAGGTAGAATAAGGTATTGTTGTGTTGCAAATACAACAGTATGCTAGGGTTTCATACTCAGAAGTTTTTGTAACAGCTTAAAACCAAACAAGACTGTGGTAGTTTCACTTGGCTAGCAGCTAATCACAGCTGTTCGCTCACTCCCCATCCCCCAGGGAATAGGGGAGAGCATTGGAGGGGTAAGGGTAAGGAGACTTGTAGGTTGAGATAAGAGCAACTCAATAATTGAAATAAAACTTTAAATAATAATGATATTAAAATAATAATGATAATAATAGTGGTAATAAAACATGACAATGAGTGATACACAGTGCAATTGCTCACCACCCACAGACCTAGCCCGGCTTGTTCCCAGATAATGATCCCGGAGGAGCAACAATCCCAAACCGAAACCACAATCCCAGAAGACCGAGAGCCCGAGTGAAAGTCAGAGAGCAAGAGACCCTTATTAATATACTGAACGTGACATTATATGATATTGAATATCCTATTGGCACACCCAAATGCCAATTTATCTTATTAATTTAAATATTCCGTGTCCCTTCTAGGTCTTGCACTTGTGGACTAACAAAACATAATAATAAGTCCTTCAACTTCCAGTGACAAAAATGAGAACATTGGTATGTTATCAGTGTTTCTCTCATAACAAATTCCAGGCTGAAACCAAAACACAGCACTGTTCTAGCTACTAAAAAGAAATCTAGTTCTGTCCCAGCTAAAAACCAGGGCACCAAAAAAAACTCAAGCTTGTTGTGCTATTGAACTTCTGCAGAACTCACTGAAGTCTGTTGAGAAGAAATCATTAGCATGCATGTAAGTAACCAGTCAAAGTTCAAGGATCATCACCAGGCAGTAGTTAATCAGCACCTTCAACGATGAGAAAGTTCAGGAGGTGCTAACCCCCTCCTGCTCCTGCACAGAGTGCTTTTTGCCTCCCGCCTCACTTCTGTTTGAAAGGAAGGTGGAAGATAAGCCTGTCTGAACTGACACACCAGGGGTTTCTGTAGGAATGGCTCTGAGCAGTTTGCTGCGAAGCCTGAAGCAAACACAGCCAACCAAGCAAGCATGCCAATGCATGTCCCACTCTGGGAAAAAGGTGTGCTCATAAACACAGATCAAGCAGAGAATAGTGGAAGATGCTGACTGTCAAGGAGTGAATCACACAGAAAACCACAACAGGATACCAACATATGCACATGTGAAATTCTCCTTGGTTCAATTTTTTGTGGCAGGTGGCACTGGGGTTTATCCACTGTGTGAAGAAAGCTGATGTGTCCTCATAAATGCACAAATATACCCCACAGGTGTAACTTTCAATGTTCTTCCCCAGGCAGTGCGAAGAGAACATGTTCTTTACCAGCACAGTATCACTGCTAGCAGGCCTGAGGCAGACCAAGGAACTGCTGACATCTGTCTGGAGTGAGATACCAGAGGCCAGAGTGACTTCAGTAGAACTTACATCACCTACAGCAGACATGCAGCTGTCTTCAAAGCACAACTGACCAAAGCGAAACCACTCCTAGGGAGAGCATGCAAAACAGTGAGTCACTTGTAGCAGATATTACTCTTTCTTGATATGCTGCTGAAGGACATGCTGATACTACATTTGAGAACAGGTGAAAATATGAGTGCAAAGTGGCTGGAAACTTGACCCTTTCAGAGTAGCACATGTCATTTGGCCCTTACTCTACGTACAACAACACTAAAAGCAATGGAGGACTTCAGGAAAAGTGAAGAGCAACATACCGACAACTAACTGACAAAAAGGCAGCCAGTTCTGAGGTGCATAAATGTATTTCTGTATGCATTTTTGTGTGAAAAATGTTTATCTGCTTACATTTCCTAATTTAAACTGTAGAATCAAGGATCTTATGCCAACTTTTACCTAGCTGGAAAGATAAAAATTGTGCAGAAATTGTAATAGTTCTGTGATGAAGATGCTTTCAACATAACTTCTTTATGTACTCTAGTCACCAAAAAGCAGTTGTTTTACCTCTTAATATTAAGCAATGCCCAAGGTATCCCAGTGGGAGTGTTGAAAGCAGGTAGCAATTTCTCTCCAAGCTCCACCGCCTTTTTTCGGAAAACCTGGAAGTTAAGAGGAAACAAAGTGTTGGAAAATGCATTGTTGCTCCCACTAAATTAATTTAGATAATACTGTTACCGAGCATATAGAATAGGTCATCTCAGCACAACGAAGCATCCCTGTTTTTTTAGAATGATGTCAAAGGAATGAAGCAGCACTACCTGTTTTCCAATGCTCAGATTGTATTGTTGTGCCCAATGCATCCGGCACAACCAGCATCAAGCCAGAGACATCAGAGCGGCCAGACTGGCCCCAATTTGTGCAGAGCTGCCTGCCTGCTCCCTGCCAGGGCTGCTCTGGGGTCAGGGAGCAGGGCCGTTAGCCAGGCACGCTGCTGGGTCTGGGATGGCTCCCAGGCAGCTCCCGGTCTCCAGTGACACCTCCTCTCAGAGCAGTGGGGATGCTGCCACAGAAGCGCAGCCTTTGCTCTGTGTGAGGTGTATTAATGGTGGCTCAGTGTGCCCTGGGAACCCGGGCTGGATTGCTGTATACCTGCCATACCGTGAATGTATGTGCTGCATGGGCAACCTGTGGCAAAACCAACCCCATCCCTGCCTCTCCAAAGGTGGGGAACAACAGAAAAAACCCAACAACAAGAAAACCCACTATTCTTGCAGCACCATAGTCTTATGTACTCAGCTGGCTTATACCCAGTTGGGCATCAGTGCCATGATTAATAAAAAAACTGGAATATACCCGTACAGATAACTGAGACTTAACTGGTCTTTAGCATGTAAATAGTTTTAGATTTAATCTTAAAAACAAGAAGTAAAAAGTCCCCATTTGCTTAACATGTACCCATAAGAATGATGAGCAATTCAACATCAGGAACTTTTTATGTTCAGAGAAATAGTTACAAAGCTAGAACAGAAGATTTTGCTCTCCTTCAACTGCTAGCTCAACTCAGGTTACATTAACCTGACTTCTCAAGCACTGAGTGCTCTAGTAAGAGAGTTTTTAATTAGAAGCAATATTGTTCCAACTTAAATATAGAAACTTATTTAGTGATTTCAATACGTGGATGTTCAAGGCCTATTTGCTTGGAATTACACTGGGAACCTGTGTAACACTGAAAGGGATTATCCCAGTTGTAGTAGTCAAAATAGCAAAGTCACCTTCATCATTCTCTCTTTCTAATAATGGCTCCCTTCAATTCATTTTTTGCCCTCAGACATATTAATGATGAATTTTTACTTATGTATGTATTAGAAATCAACTTGTACACTTGATGCATCTCACATTGTAGCCAAGTACGGTACAGCAATTTTCCAAGAAGGAAAAAAAATGCATATATGTTTATAGGAATAAATAAATAAAGACATTTGCTGATCAAAACAAAGTAATGAAGAAATTTCTTTCCACACAAATAAAATACAATTTATAAAATCTCACTTTCTAAAAGCCACTTTGAGTAAAGTTTTTTATTACTGAAAAAGACGTGATCAGGAGAGAATATAAAACTCTGGGATAATCGTGTTACCATAAAGAAGCTCCAGACTACCCCACAATCTTTTCATATGACACAGATCTCAAGATTTCTGTGACAACAGTCCAAGATTTAAAATTAAAGTACAAGATATTTTGAGGAAAGTTAAGCAATTTGAAGCCATATTATGGCTGGAGTCAGAAAACTTTTTTGAGTGGATTGCATGTGAGTGCTGGAAGAAACTTGAAGCAAAGCAGCAGGGAAAACAATTTGCTTGGAAATCCCTTCATAATCCATGTTAATTCTGACTTCCTGGTTTACCAATTGTGTGGATTCTGCTGAGAATTAGTTACGGATTTGTGATCTTCATCCAGCACATAATTCAGCCTCCCCAAGGGTTAAAAGCTGAGGGACTTTCAGTAACAGTTGGTGCAGAACATAATTATCTCGTAGTAGATTTCCTTGAGAGGAGCCAGCGACAGTAACCCCACCAGGAGCACACAAGCTTCCCCCCTGGTTACACTATTCAGCCACAATTTTTCACCTTGGTCTGCTCAACCCAAACCTGTGCTTTGCTTTCAGCACAAGAGAGGCCTCCTCAGCCTTCCACAACATATGGTACAATCAAGTCATCAGCTTATCTTACACCTCTGCCCCGAAACACTGAAGTATTAACAGGAGAGCGGTTATGACGACCCCCTGCAAGCAACAGGCACACAAGGACCCCAAATTTCTGAAGAGGCATCTGCTGAGCAGTGTAAAACCCTATCTTTTGCCATATGTAAAGGGGGTAGATGTTTTATTTTACAGAATGCGGTTAAAGGTGCCATATGTACTTTTTTTAGGTGTGTATTTGAGGATAAGAGGAGATCTCCCTTTCAAAAAGCACATAGGTGATTAAGCATAGCAGTGGCAGCAAGGGTTAGTAACTGCTGTACCTTACAGGCTGTATTAATCCTTCAGCATTAAAAAGATTACATGCAAGCTCAGAAAGAGGTCTGTTACAATAATTGCTTCTGGACAAAATTGCAACATTTTAGCATCTTAATTAAAGATTTGATGTACAGCAATAATGCTTTACTTTCAAATAGTTCTACCAACTCTCACATATTTTTTCAATTCTATTGTATTTCTTTTATAAATTAAGAACCCAATTTCTTTCAAAATAAAATTGCCTACTTCATGGAAATGTCAAAAATAATGGTTATTAAAAAAAAAAGCACTTCTCATAAGGAAATAGTGTTCCACATATGGATATGCAAGGAAAATGTAATTCACTTCTGATAGGGACAGCACTCTGAACACCAACATTAGAACACACAGTGAAACTGGGCTTTCTAACTTCCTTCTTGTCCAAAATGCACCTCTTCCAATGTAGTAAACAATTTTCCTAGTAGGCATCTAGGAAAAAAGAATTAAAAAATTATTTTTAAACCATCATACAATTTTGGAACAAGTCTTGAGGTGAAAATGCACTTCTTGTTTACAAGAGAATTTCACCAGGTTATTACTAATACATGCTAGCGATTTTGCTTCCCCTTCCAAAGTTAAAAAAAAAGTCAGCTATGGACATTACCCAATTTTATCTTTAGGGCTAATTTAGCATGGCTGAACAACTGTCTGCTAAATCACTATCTATTAAATAGAATAGTACAGGCAAGAATGACAAGAATACAACACCACTCTGAATGACTGAACACAATAAATAGCAACTTCACGCAGCAAAATTATGCTCTTTCAGCAAGGGTAAAAGGGTGAAGATTAATAAAGGAACCACTTTATTTTTCAATTTGCAGCTTTAATGGTTAAAAATAATAATAGGAAAAGCGGGTGTTGTAATTATTGCACACTGTTCACAATGTTCAGCATATTTTTCTTTTGCAGAAGCTTCTGATATTGGACAAGAAATAAATATTGTAAAGGGCAAGATTTTTTTTTTTAATAATAAAAATAAAGAAACAACAGAAATTTCTACTTAATATCTCTATTCCTGACATAAATTTCAACTTTTTGCCAAGCCCTAATCTCTCTCTGCTATCACTCAGTACAGTCATTTTTTTGGTAAGCAAAAAGTATGACAGTCATTACTGAGACACACAGAGTAAAGGCAGAAATGACAGAGCACAAAAACGAGAGATGTGATATATAATAAAGGAAAAGATCTACAGCAGAATTTCCCATCATAGTGGTTATCTTGAGAGGCTTGAGGACTTTTCCTGGCCTCTCCTCATGGATGCTCCGTCAGTGGTAATGAAGTACTCCAACCAGATCAGACCTGGCAGAAGCTGTCATGGTCCCATGCCTGCACCCAGGCCTCACCCCACACTTAGTTCTCATGGTTTAGATATCTACCTAAAAGTGTAAAAGTCTACAAACCACTCCCAAGACCTCCATGACTTATTCCACTGCTCTATCATACCTAGACTGCATGTTTTAAGGAAGAGGGAATGTGGAGTTATTTCCCTGACACATCAGCTGTCCCTTCACCAGGTGATGGAATGAGTAAGCCACACCATCACCAATCACTTCTTTTAAATTGAGTATTCAGAGGAAAGTATTGTGGCTACCTTTAAAAAGCAACTAAACCACTAAAAATTGCACTGACATTTAACTCAGCTAGATACTATACTACAACAAAGAAAATTATTCTATGTGAAGCACTGTGATTCAGGAAAGAAAATTATGATTGAAACTCAGAAATACAATATTTGACACCATAAAGTTAGGGAAGATAGTAAATGTTTTCTCAAGCATTTCTCTCCAACCAGATTTTTGCCAGAAGACAGATTTTGGACGCAATATAATCCTTCTTTATAAATTCAAAATATTATTAACATTGTTTAAAAGGTTTATGTAAGATCTCTAACAAACTTGTAGGATAGTGGTTCTCACTGTGTGAAGGTCTTGCATAAGAAAGTCTCCTCTGTGAAATAAACACATGGACTCCTTCACACTCTTCAGTCCTACTCATAATTAAAATTAGCACTAAAGCAAATTAGATACTTACTATAGTCATATAGAAGATTATACAGAAGATAGTTACTACATTTTCTATCAAGATCCTGTTTACATTAGTAGGCTATGAATTGTTAGTTAAAATAAGATCAATGCTCAGAAAGCAGCACCTCCGTTGTCCCAAGTTACCAATCTCAAGTGCCTTGCAAATACAAAAGACACATCAAACCCTGCCACCATTACTCCAAGCCAGCAATTCTTCGAACAACATTTGTATAGGCAGTAACATGTAAACAAGAAATCCACCTCACTGCTGCACACATGCAGCTTTCCTGTTACTGTCTGTTAGTTCCACAGGCAACACACATACTATGCCAAGGAGCAAAACATTGTTTTCTCACCCCATTAGATATTCTTAATTATTTTTTAAATACATAGAAATATTTTTGGGTCTTCATAAAAGAGAAGAAACTAACTTCCCCTACCATGCCCCAACTGCACAAGCTGCTAGGATGGATGCTTTTGCACAACACTGTACCTGTGCACGTCATGGTTCCCAGTGCCAACACTCATCTACTTCCTCAGCAACTATAATCTGCATCTTTCATTCTAGTAGGACTG